CTAAGAGAGGAAACGATAAAGGAGAGACATGAAAGAGTCCCGGAGAGATAAGTAAGAATTTATATGATATTAGTAAAGTCAAGATGATTATGGTAGTAAGAGTATAGGAGAGAATTGGATTTTAGGAGATCAGCAAGGGACTAGGAGATAAGTAAGAGATTAGGAGATTAGTAAGAGATTAGATGATAAGTAAGAAATTAGGAGATAAGGAGATAACTAAATGACAGGGGGAGTAGTAAGAGTTCAGGGGATTAGGAGATAAGTAAGAGATTAGGAGATTAGTAAGAGATAAGGAGATAAGTAAAAGATTGTGAGATTAGTAAGAGTCTAGGAAAACAGTAAGAGACAAGACGATAAGTAACAGACTAGGAGATAAGTAAGAGATTAGGAGCTAAGTAAGAGATTAGGAGATTAGTAAGAGATAAGGAGATAAGTAAAAGATTGTGAGATTAGTAAGAGTCTAGGAAAACAGTAAGAGACAAGAAGATAAGTAACAGACTAGGAGATAAGTAAGAGATTAGGAGCTAAGTAAGAAACTAGGAAATAAGTAAGAGATTAGGAAATTAGGAGATAACTAAAAGACTTGGAGGGTAGTAAGAGTTCAGGAGATTAGTAAGAGATTAGGAGATAAGTAAGAGATTAGGAGATAAGGAGATAACTAAAAGACTGGGAGAGTAGTAAGAGTTCAGGGGATTAGTAAGAGATTAGGAAATAAGTAAGAGATTGTGAGATTAGTAAGAGTCTAGGAAAACAGTAAGAGACAAGAAGATAAGTAACAGACTAGGAGATTAGTAAGAAACTAGGAGATAAGTAAGAGATTAGGAGATAAGTAAGAGATTAGGAGATAAGGAGATAACTAAAAGACTGGGAGAGTAGTAAGAGTTCAGGAGATTAGTAAGGGACTAGGAGATAAGTAAGAGATTAGGAGATTAGTAAGAGACTAGGAGATTAGTAAGAGATTAGGTGATAAGAAAGAGATTAGGAGATAAGGAGATAACTAAAAGACTGGGAGAGTAGTAAGAGTTCAGGAGATTAGTAAGGGACTAGGAGATAAGTAAGAGACTAGGAGATTAGTAAGAGATTAGGAGATTAGTAAGAGATTAGGTGATAAGTAAGAGATTAGGAGATAAAGAGATAACTAAAAGACTGGGAGAGTAGTAAGAGTTCAGGAGATTGGTAAGAGATTTGGAGATAAGTAAAAGATTAGGAGATAAGTAAAAGATTAGGAGCTTTGTAAGAGTTCAAGAGATTAGTAAGAGACTAGGAGATTAGTAAGAGACTAGGAGATTAGTAAGAGACTAGGAGATTAGCAAGAGACTAGGAGATTAGTAAACACTAGGAGATTAGTAAGAGTCCTAGAGATTAGTAAGAGACTAGGAGATTAGTAAGAGTCCTAGAGATTAGTAAGAGACTAGGAGATTAGAAAGAGACTAGGAGATTAGCAAGAGACTAGGAGATTAGTAAACACTAGGAGATTAGTAAGAGTCCTAGAGATTAGTAAGAGACTAGGAGATTAGTAAGAGTCCTAGAGATTAGTAAGAGACTAGGAGATTAGTAAGAGACTAGGAGATTAGAAAGAGATTAGGAGATTAGTAAGAGTCCTAGAGAACTATATGTTATATTCAGTGACTTGTAATTTTATTATTTTAAACCATCGAAATATTAAGTCAGTGTGTATGAACAAAATTTGCTTTGAAACCATCTCTTCGCCCTTGAAGCATAGAAATTAAAATCAAACTTATTTTTCAGGAATACGCTATTCAAAATAAAGCCAGACTCCATTTACTATGAAAAAAGAATCCATTTATAAAATACTAATTGCAAAGCCAGATTAAGAACCATTAATTAACATAATATACATAACTGTATTATGTAATCAAGTTATTAAAAATTTGAGCAGAAGTCTGAGGAAGGCATACATTTAACTTATCAAAATTAGCCTGGACTCTTGGATTTCCAAACATCTCCAAATAGGACATCAGTCAGAGTAATCTCCCCTTCTGAACCATGGGCAGTGATGTTGTATGGTCCAGGATAATTAACAGGGTCAAGGGTCACTCTCCATAATCCATCTGTGTCAACTACTGCTAGGACTGTCTGCTTGGCCACAGAGACATTGATCGTATCATCCAAATGTGAACTGTAGCCCCAGATAACAGCACGCTGTGGGGCTTTCTGAAGAACCATATGATCGCCATAGTAGGCAGCGAAAGCAAAACGCTTCTGGACAGTAGAATCACTGTCTGAAAATAAAAAGATAATAATAGACCTATAAGTTCAAATATATATTTACAGGATTCACTTGCAATGAAATCAAAACCACCAGACGTTACACATTTTGAAAAGAAGCTTTTGAGTTGGGTCCTAGAGGAAACTATATCAGGTTTAGGGTTACATCACCGATTAAGAACAAATAAGAAATTCTTTTCAGCAGAAATGGATACTTTTAATATTTCTTTGATTCCTATTTACCATCTTTTCAAACTGGAATTCCATACATAGTATACACTATATCAACTCGACTTCCTGAGAAGGTCAAGGTCACGCGGACCTGGATGGTCAAAAAAAAAATTTGCTCTGAGTGATTGATATCATTTATGTTATTTATGGTACTTTGAATACTGTGATTTTTGGACTATGGATTGTTGATATATCCCGGAATAGAACTGTTAGAAAAAGACATGGGAAATTTAACACAGAAAGTTTTTTGGACGCTTGTAAAAAGGACAATGGATCAGACCCTAATGTGACAACTTCTCACGACGTGCCCACTATACAGCATACATGTAGCTTGTACAGGATACACTTTACATCTGTTGTGAACTTCTGAAACATGTGGAAACCTGGAACAACAAGAAGTCAGAGTTCTTCAGGAACCAAGACACCCGATGAAAGATCGGGGGAAATTACGGCGATGCTTTCTATTATTGTGACGAAAGCAGAGATTGGTCACAAACACATTCTTTGAATCACAGATATGATGGAAGAAAAGTTTTCTAAGTTGAAGGTTGATATCAAGGAGGAGAATTGTGAGCTAGAAACGATTGGAAAACATATATATGCTTTAGAGAAGGAAAACGAAGAGCTCCGAGAGACTGTTGGGAATCTGGAATCTAAATGTTCAGAACTCCAAGCCTCCAAGACAGTAATGAGTGAGAGGTTTAACGACTAAGAACAACACGGACGCAAAAATTCTATTAGAATTTTTGGACTGAAGGGTATGTCAGACTGTGAATTGGCAGCATAGTGAGATTCATCAACTCTAAACTGAACGTTCCACTCAAGGGAGAACACTTCGACATCACACATTGACTCAGGAATTTCATCAGTGGCCAGAATAGAAACGTGATTGTGCAATTAACCCATAGGACCAAAAAGCATGAGATCATGATCAACCAATCCCATATGAAAATCCAGTTGTGTTACAGAATAGACTAATAGGATCAGAAGATATCAGTGCTGTCCACTGTAAATACAGTTACAAAATATTGGTGTGCATTCAGAATATCTAAACCCTATTTTGTTACAGAAATCCCCACTGGTAGGAAAAAATGGGCTGAACAATTTAATTTTGAAGACACTATGTGGGCAAGCATTTTCTCTTTACCTTTTAAAATAACAAATAATTCTAAATTCCAGTGGTTTCAGTACAGCACCTTACACAACATTTTGACAACAAATTCTATCCTTTATAAAGCAAACATAATTGACAGCCCATTCTGTATTTTCTGTAAATCTGAAACAGAAACTATCACACATATCCTCTGGAAATGTGAAAGTGTTCAGAATTTCTTACAGAGCTTAGAAGTACATTTGGAAGCACTACCTATCCCTTTTTCAACAAAGAGTCTTTTGGATTTTGTTTTTAATCTGTGAGAAATGTGTATGATAATATTGACAATGAGATTGATATCATTATTAAGAATTATATTTATAATACTAGGTGTTTAAACAATACTTTGAACATAAATGTTCTCGTAAACTTAATAAATGATCATCATAACCTTTAAAAAAATAAAGTGTGACTGGTAAGGGAGATCACTCCCTTGAACATTTCAATGAAGAGTGGAGAAAATGGAAAAAAAGTAATCTTACTATAAATACATTTTTGTCCAGGGCAGGCAACACACATTTCTATGGAATTCTTGTTTTTCTTTCATCCGGTAAGTTACTTTTCTATTTGACACCATTTCGCCTAGACTCATGGCATGTGAAGATCTTTTTTTTTCTCTCTTTTTGGTCTATCTTGTATAGAACTGCTTACCCAAAGACAATTTCTCTTGTCCTTCATTTCACTTTGCCTGCTTTACCCCATTTCTTTTTTCTATCTATCTCTCTGCCTTTCTACCTATCTCTTCTCTTTTCAAAAAAAAAAAACACACACACACACACACAACCACACGCATATAGCTGTCTCTCATAAATTTTCAGTGTTTTAACTGAAGATTGGTGATAAACTGCATGATATTGATGAATGTTGCAGTGATGTCTGATGTAAATGGCATTGATGAGTGTGAAAAGATGAAATGTTCAATTGATTTATGTCGATTGTGCAATAATGAAATTAATACAAAGCTCACATATTGAATCATTGATGATATCTAAATCTACTTTCTATCTCTGGATGACTGACATGTTCATGATGTTTGAAGCACGATAACGTGGGGCCGATGTGTTTATGTAGCTGTAACAAACTAATACGTACTCTGTATAAGTAACTAGTTTACTAGTTACATTAAGACAAAGATACGCAGGTAATTGTACACGTACTGTATACTCCTAAAAACTTATATAATAGAGTATCGCTTGTGTCCGAAAACAACGTATCAGCAACTAGAAAATTTGCCAAAATACAGATAGCCAACACGGTTCGAGGCTGTCCTTTTATGTGGAACCAAACCGTGCTACGTTCGTGTCGTTACGACCGGATAAACAAAAGCGCCCCAGGTATCTTCTCGCTAACTGTTATACCATCATTGACAATGATCCCACGATATTCGTTGGCATTGAACCTTTTCTGTCCAATTGAAGTGCACGCCGTGAAATAACATGAAAGCAAGAAAACGCATTGATATATTCGTATGTATTCAGCACAGCACTGTCACTCCTATCCATTTTGTTTCTGTTTTTATTGCGCTCATACAAAAACTTCCGAGACGAGGATTTCGATATTTCCCATAAATCCTCTTAATGGCGGCGCCCTTAGATACATCCGGTTTGTGAACATCAACAAAAATGAATCCTGAGAGAAAGAGAAGAAATCGAGTTCAGGGAGGCTGGGCTGCTCCAACGAATGTAAGATCAGATAGGAACAAACCAAAAGCAGGTGTAAGCCCAGCTTGGACGGGTAAAACGGTAGACCAACCAACAGAAAGGAAGTTTGTTTTTGCAGAACCCGAGGAAGTAAGCGAACGTAAACAAAGTTATGAAATATGCAGTTAGAATATTTTTAAAATACTCACATTGTTACTCTCAGACAAGAGTTTAGCTTAGTTTTTCTGTGCTCTGTTTTAACCAGTTAAGAGCTACTGTATTTGTGTATCCATTTAATCAAACAAGGGAAGAGACTATCTAGTTATGTAATTAATTCGTACAAAATCAGTAAAAAGCAAAAAAAAAGACATTTTTAAAGTCCTAAATTCCTTCAAGGAGTATTTATCTATGTGTTTTTTTTTTTATTTTATAAAGGAGTTGAAAGAAAAACCCGCAGAAACAGTAATCACGTAAGTTGTCAATTACCAGTAAGTCATGCAGATAAAATTATAAATAAACAACTTATTCATGATTATGTATAACATGTTAAATGTGCCATATATTCATATGTTTTGTATACAAATCTGTACATCTTTATCCTGAATGAATTTATTATTATTATCATTATACATATATATATCTGCATGTAAAGTCTTTTTCCAGTAGCTCTAGATCTGTTGTGCTTGTTTTCAGTTATTTTATGATAGAATGCACCTAAGTATAATTCAACATTGAAAAAAAAGTGGGGGGTGTGAGGGGGGATTATCAGGATACATGTACCTGTACAAAGATGAGATAATTTTTTTGTCTTCATTTCTGAGATGTTAATACTCTTCCTTTTTGGAGGTATTGAGTATGATAATTAGGATTAAAGTTAAAATCAATCAATATTTTCTGGTTTCATCTCCATCAAGTGATCAACAGCTGTTTATTCTGACAGCCTTTCCAGTGCAACCAAATGTTGATCTATTGTTAAGGAAAAGTTACAAATTATTTTATTTATATTTCTAGGTCCTGTCTTGTGTCTGTCACATGCTAATTGGATTATAAGAAATCAAAATAATATTTTAAGTGAGGTTAATTTTCTGTTTTTCTGTAGAAAACCAGGTGTATATGACATAAGCACAGAGCCTTCTGGAATTTCAAGGTAAATAAAAGATATGTCAATCACAAATGTTGGTATACTGTCTTTCAGGCATTTTGTTATTTTATAGGTCAAAATCAAATTTCATTATCATACATATATATGGGATCTTTGGTGGAATGTGATTGCATTGAAATAAAAGATAGAAACATGGGCATATGATGTAGAGGAATAAAAAGCTAGGCCCAACGGTCACTTCTCTGCCATTAGGTTTTATGTTTGATCACTAAGCTTTGAAGTCATCAAAACTACCATTTAACTGTTGTTATCAAATCTTATCTATGTGTGCCCCATTCACCTGTATGCTGTTGTGAATCTAGCACTGACCTACCTGATAACAGCCAGTTTGTTGGCAAGTGTGAAATTAACCTTATTTGCATAACAAATATAATACTAATAAATCCAAGTGATGTAATTCTAAACTTACACTCAGCTTTTGAATGTTTTCCATATCTTTTTATCCTGCAACTGGTGTCGCCATTTTCGGAATACATCTGCCATATATATTTTTGCTGTATTTGGCATTGACGGAAAACAGCTGTATTTTTATTATTATCTGAATTTATGTATACATTGTTTTTAACGATATGAATAACAGTTAAAATAATTGACTTCATATATTGTAATGAAGTTTATTTACAAAAATTCATAAAATCATCGTCATATCCACTGCAGTTTGGAACTATTTTGACATTTGTCACCAGGCAAAATTGAGCATAACGGGACAGAAAGATGCAAGCGTCTCACTAGAGGCTTACCACTTTTGATTTTCATCGACCTCACCAAAAAACAGCTTATATTTTAAGACACTGACCATGTATATTTTCAGCTGACAATTGTAGTACACGTTATAGGATGTTATTTCAGTTGTAACTAGCTTAAGCATGCATTTTGTTTTACAGATATCAGAAGTTAACAGATTATTTGTGACAAAAATTAAAACAATCAATTAGAACATTATTATGCTTTATACCACTGTTTATCTTAGTTATGTACTTTTGGGTAAGATTGTTGATAAAAATAGCAAGGCTACTTAATTTGAATGGTGTGATAGAGATATTGGCAGTTTCTTATCCCCTCTTATATGTCTCAATCTAAAACAATTACAAATTCCTGCTTTTCATGTAATATAAGATAACACAGAGTTATCAACTAATGTGGAAAAAAATATATTCTTCCAGAAGTTATTTTGAAAACTTAGCCCAACACTAGTAAAATACATTGTATTAGTAATGGGATTATCTGTTCTGCATCTGGCAATGGTACCAAGTAATCTATAATACATGCAGTAAGATACATTATGTGGATAAATGCAGAATTAATCAACAAACAAACAAAAAATTATTTAAGAAATTCCAAACCCCTGGCCAACTATTTTTGGGTGCATGTTTATAATCTTTCTTTCCTATATACAAATAGGTTAAGATATTTCCCTGAGTTTATTGGGTCGCAAGAAGCAAATGAACTGTATGACCGCCTATTCCATGACTTACCGTGGCGACAGAGATCTGACGTAAAGAATGGTCAGTCCTACCTCCAGCCAAGACTGACCGCCTGGTATGGAGATCTCCCATACTCCTACTCAGGAGTCACCCATCCAGCCAGTCCAGAGGTAAAAAATGTAAACTATAGTTATATTATCTGATCCCTGTATTCTGTGATACCATCTCTTATCTGACCCCTAATATTCTGTTCAACTGACCTGAAAAATTCTTGTATCCTACCATCCTCTCTAATATTACCCCTGAGGTTTCTGACTGGACATTAAATAAGGCAGGTTTCAGTGCATTGTGAAATGAATGTCTGATGTAATATTTTGAAAATTTATGTAAAATTGTCTTTACTGACTTTGGTTAAATTTTGTATACATACATTTATTTGTGTAAATATATGCTATGTGTTTAAGATTGCAATGTTTACTTAGAACTTCAATTGACTAGTATGCATATTTTCAGTGGGACCCCACTTTACTGATGTTGCGGGAACGTCTAGAATCTGTGTTAGGCCTCCGTTTTAACTCTGTGCTGACCAACCTCTACCGAGATGGACATGAACATGTTGCTTGGCACTCAGATGATGAACGGTCTCTTGGGCCGCAGCCTACCATAGCCTCACTTTCATTCGGTGACACACGCAACTTTGAATTACGAAAAAAACCTGTAAGTCTATATTGAAAGGATTTTTTTTAGGCACCTCAGTTTTAATATTATTCTAGCTTCGTGTTTTGGCTTGACTACTTCATACCATTCTTGTTCAATTCTTTGATTATTTAAGAAATCTATATGAAATTCAGTTGTAATTACAGTTAATGTCAGTAGTTATTTTTGGGTCAAACTGTGTGGTATTTATCATTTTGACTAAAGATGTCTCTTGTATTATCATAATACCCTGTGTCTAAATATAGATCATTCAATTCAATTTTTTTGTAAAACGATAACATTTTAACAGGAAACAGGAATAGATTACTCACATAGCGAGCAAGTACGGATCCCACTTACACATGGTTCATTGCTAATTATGGAAGGTTCAGTCCAGGAAGACTGGCAGGTAAGACAAACCCTATATAGCACAACCATATGTATGTAAAACATTTGTACTAGATTTACAGTCTTTTTGTAAAATCTGTTCAGAAACCCCCTGTGGTGAATCTGTCTTCTTCGTAGGGAACCTCTGCTTCTGTAGAAAGAGTAAGACTTGTTTAGAATCTATGTGTATTTGGTTACTGGTCCAAAAGTACTGAAATTAAACCTCGATATATATTGATAAACAGCCGTGTGCATTACTGCAGAATTTATTTTCCTGGCCATTTGTGTTTATCAATTACATGTGTCCAGAATTTAATAGATAATGAATGAATATCACATTTGTAAAACATTAATTTATTGAAATCTTTCCCCCTGAAAATAACTGAAAAACTTAAAAGGCCCATCTGGTCTTGAGTAAATGAAATAATGACTTTGTAGATACACTATGTACATGTATAATAGTGTTTTTTCATTATTTTTCCTGTGTGGCAGCATCGTATACCAAGGGAATACCATGACAGAGACCCTAGAATCAACTTGACGTATCGTGTGATCCTACCAGAGTGAAGATGTGCTGTTCCATCATACTTTCTGTGATGATAATGATATAAATTTACATACTATGAAACATCAGCAGTATTGACTTCAATTAACTTGCATTTGATCCAAAGTATTTTTGGAAGACTTCAGTATTTAGGAAACAGCAATATATTATTTATTAATTAAGGAATTTTCCATATTTTTGTCATGGAATGTCAAATATTTGTTCTAACATTAAAATCCATTTATATGCATTTCCATGTATATTTTGGGCCATATAAGCCTTTCGTATCCATAATTCTTGCGTTGACAGTTTTAATGAACCCTTGCTGGTTGTATAAAGTCAATAATCCAAATACGGTATATATTCCTATCATTTGATGAAAGATGTAGGTTGAGAAATAGTGCAATTGGTATTGTTTCTGTTTTGTTAAAATCGCAAAGTAAATAATATTTACCTATGCTGAATAACTATGTAATTTTTGTATGCAATGAATTGTTCTATATTTATTTCTGTTTAAATCTTTTATGACTTTTGTTGATTTTTTGTTGTGACTTCCAAAGAAATATCGTTCTTGCTGCTTGTGGTTTCATTATACCTCACATACATACAAGTACTAAGTACCCAATCTCGTTTATTATCTGTCAGTAATGTGAGGCACAGATGTAAGAACATATATGAATTATAAGCAGAATCCTATTTCTTCTATTTAACTCATCAGCACTTCATGGAGTTTTCAGGTAAATATTTCTGGAATGGGTCACCTGCCTGAACACCTGCCTTTTTTACTGGATACTTTAGTTTCTTCCTACAGTAAGACATCTCATGTGCTTCAATTTGGACCAACTGGAGTTTTAAGTATAAGCTGGAATAGCTTGTTTGGTAATTGCTATAAAGTTTAATTTCAAAAATATATCTTGCAGACAACAGAAATCATCATTAAAAGTATTTCCACAATTCAAAATCTTAGACACGCGGTAGATGCCGAATTATAATAAGAGTTGTGTTATGATTAAAAGGATATGATGTGCTGTTGTTATAGCGGTTAGATCTTCATCCATATGAGTCATCCCTATGAACTTTAAGTTCGTGTGGATTTCAAAAGCTGGAAATTTAGTGGTTCCTTAGCTATTTACTATTAACATTTGACCCCAAAAAATTCAACCTCAACATCTGTGGCCAAAGAAATGATTTATTGTGTACCAGTATATTGTTATATAAATATCCTCTAACTAGGTGCTGGTAACTGTTGTTTTACTATATATATTTGTGCAGTTAATCATTTTCCTTGATTAAAACATATACTAGCGTGGCGTCCAGTGCAGTTTTCAATTCTTGGTGATATTTATTTTTCAGTTACTGTCAGCTGGTTCAGTGTGTATACCATTTTAACATACAATTTAATTAGTATCACATTTTAATTATGATTCCTCTAGTAATCGATGTTCCTCTCTCTTCTTATTACTCTTAACTGCATTTTCTCTATTATTCTGAGTACAATTCTTCTACTATTAAATATTCCTCCAACATTTTCTACTCCTAATTTCCTTTTCTTCTTTAATATCTTATTTCTCTACCCTATCTTCCCTACCTCTCATTTTTATTTTGGATATCTCCTTAGATTACCTCCCCTTTTCTTCAAATCTCTTCTTTCCAAACAATTTTATTTACCCAGTGGGTTGTATTATATGGTTGTGCATCGCTATATACACTTGTTTATCCTATTTAAATGTCTCTAGCTGTTGCACTTGCACAACGTCTAGAGACAGCACATGTCCTAGAGACAGAAAACTGGTAACCCGCTAACTATTGGAAAGACGTTTTACCATTTACAAAGTTAAAAAAAAAAGAAAACAAACCAACAAAACGGTTTATAGTTCATACTTTTTATTCTGAGATTCTTGTACGTCATGCAACATTATATTAGAGGGATGGTGATTAGGATGTGATCTGTTTTATATGCATGTATGACTGGTAATTTTAACTATCAACATGATGGTTTTGTTGTATGATGATGGACGAAACATTGAAAATAAACAATATTTATTATATAAAATGTTCATTTATTTTTACATCTCACAAATATTTATTTCAATTTGAATTGACGGTTTGTTTGTCATGGATCATATGATATTTAATATAAGTCAAGTTTACAAATTTATTTTTTTTTAAAATATTTTTTCTTTTGAGGTAGTTGTGGTGTAATCAGGGCCTTACGCAACACACCTCTTTACCTGTAGCAATGAATCCGTTCCGTACTGGTTGATTTGATCGGGTCTTCTCAGCACTGATTAGAGCCAACCAGCTGTCGCTGTGTGTCCCTTTTTATTTCATTTTGTCAATAGTGGAAAAGGACCACATTTTCCTGCCCCAATAAAAACTTATCCATAGTGGATTATAATGCCACCGATTGGCATATCATTACCTTATTTGGTAAAGTTCCAGTATATAATGTACTTATAATCATATATAATCAGAGACATACAGAATAACACGACATCATGAGTAGACTTATATCGTTCAGATCAAGAAATATTGTGTCTTAATACGGTGTTTAAAAAATTAATTCTGTCTAAAAGACAACAAAATCAACCGATAAAACTGCAAAACAAGTTCCAAATGATAGGATGTTAGGTAAATGGGAACCGAAAGAGGGAATTACACAGATGCCATTGAAAAAGCTCAAGAAAAGGAGCACATTTTACCCTATATTGGCTGTATATTCCTCTTGGTGCTGTAATAAATTCTGAAATATGATATAAAGAAAGGATTATACTATAGAGATAAAAACTGCACAACTTACCTACCAGGATTAAGGTGAAGTGACATAAAATCAAGGGGTTCTAGTTTTCACAAGTCCTATTTCATAAACTTACACGGCAATAAGACAAGGTTCTCAAACTTGTGTCGATTTTTTTATTTGGTGACAGAGGTTGTTTGATACAGTTCATGAGTCTCACTGCAGTTATACAAGGTACCCCAGTTATACAAGGTTCTCCAGTTATACAAGGTTCTCCAGTTATACAAGGTACTCCAGTTATACAAGGTACCCCAGTTATACAAGGTTCTCCAGTTATACAAGGTACTCCAGTTATACAAGGTTCTCCAGTTATACAAGGTACCCCAGTTATACAAGGTTCTCCAGTTATACAAGGTACTCCAGTTATACAAGGTTCTCCAGTTATACAAGGTACTCCAGTTATACAAGGTTCTCCAGTTATACAAGGTACCCCAGTTATACAAGGTTCTCCAGTTATACAAGGTTCTCCAGTTATACAAGGTACTCCAGTTATACAAGGTACTCCAGTTATACAAGGTTCTCCAGTTATACAAGGTACAGTTATACAAGGTTCTCCAGTTATACAAGGTTCTCCAGTTATACAAGGTACTCCAGTTATACAAGGTACCCCAGTTATACAAGGTACTCCAGTTATGCACGGTACTCCAGTTATGCACGGTACTCCAGTTATACAAGGTACTCCAATTATGCACGGTACTCCAGTTATGCACGGTACTCCAGTTATACAAGGTACTCCAGTTATGCACGGTACTCCAGTTATACAAGGTACCCCAGTTATACAAGGTTCTCCAGTTATACAAGGTACTCCAGTTATACAAGGTACCCCAGTTATACAAGGTACTCAAGTTATACAAGGTACTCCAGTTATACAAGGTACTCCAGTTATACAAGGTACTCCAGTTATACAAGGTACCCCAGTTATACAAGGTACTCCAGTTATACAAGGTACTCCAGTTATACAAGGTACTCCAGTTATACAAGGTACCCCAGTTATACAAGGTACTCCAGTTATGCACGGTACTCCAGTTATACAAGGTACTCCAGTTATGCACGGTACTCCAGTTATACAAGGTACTCAAGTTACACAAGGTACTCCAGTTATGCACGGTACTCCAGTTATGCAAGGTACTCAAGTTATGCACGGTACTCCAGTTATACAAGGTACTCCAGTTATGCAAGGTACTCCAGTTATACAAGGTACTCCAGTTATGCAAGGTACTCCAGTTATACAAGGTACTCCAGTTATGCACGGTACTCAAGTTATACACGGTACTCCAGTTATACAAGGTACTCAAGTTATGCACGGTACTCCAGTTATACAAGGTACTCAAGTTATGCACGGTACTCCAGTTATACAAGGTACTCCAGTTATGCACGGTACTCAAGTTATGCACGGTACTCCAGTTATACAAGGTACTCCAGTTATACAAGGTACTCCAGTTATGCAAGGTACTCCAGTTATGCACGGTACTCCAGTTATACAAGGTACTCCAGTTATGCACGGTACTCCAGTTATACAAGGTACTCCAGTTATGCACGGTACTCCAGTTATACAAGGTACTCCAGTTATACAAGGTACTCAAGTTATGCAAGGTACTCCAGTTATACAAGGTACTCCAGTTATACAATGTTCTCCAGTTATGCAAGGTACTCCAGTTATACAAGGTACTCAAGTTATGCACGGTACTCCAGTTATACAAGGTACTCCAGTTATACAAGGTACTCAAGTTATGCAAGGTACTCCAGTTATACAAGGTACTCAAGTTATGCAAGGTACTCCAGTTATACAAGGTACTCCAGTTATACAATGTTCTCCAGTTATGCAAGGTACTCATACATTTTCCATGAAAATTTTCTAAGACTTTTTGGTGTTCAAAGACCATAACCCCGAAAGAAAGAAATTGGCCGTAACCAAATAAAACTTGTCTTGCATCTAATGGTATCTACATATTAAAAGTCCAAAGTCTCCGTCCGTTCAAGAGCAAAAGAGCGAAAACGAAATTAAGGCGAAATGAAAGCCAAGGGCCACGTTATAATTCCCCGACATTTCTTGGTGGGGTCTTTAAAAATACCAAGAAAATACCAACATGGCAACATAATCATAATTCAAACTCATATTCCATAAAACTAGGGCAAATATGAACAAAAGAAAGATTAACGCGGAGACTCCTGAAAAAGTACAAGAAGAATAAGATTATGTGTTCCGGAAGAGTAAGCGTCTTCTGCTACATCGACTACACCCGCCATGTAAACCTGTCATAACACGAAATGGGTAATAACAGATGTACTATTAAACCTCGACTCAAGGTTCATGTGAATTATTCCACAGGTCGCGAAGATATGTGGTATTACAACCGAAAGCAGTTGAATATGTCAACTTGAAAGAGAACCTCCAGCTCCTCGCTGATTCACTAGGTCTGTCTTTTTTCTCCTAGTCTTGCACAATGTAAGTATAATATCTGAATATTAAGTATTTGTTATAATAGAATTACATTGTACAGATGCATTGTATTCTTATGTATTTAACTCTTATATTAATAAACTGTTAGACTTCCTTAAGTGAATAAATAATACAATACTAGGTGATCGTACGATGTAACAGAAATTTAAGTATTACGCGACTAGCATTACCGATGAAAAATATTCCTGATCACGTTTCATAGAGTCTCATACGAAATCTCTGAACGCCAACATTTTAAAAATCCCTACAGATTGTGATAGTCTTTTCCTATAAAGTAGGGTCAGTTCCAACAGGTAAATTTACCTGTTGGTACTCAACAACTGATATTATTTGCATTTTTCATTTCCTGTTTTGAAAGTTATTGACACGTTTTGTAAAATATCAATGTCATGAAACAAATTTTGATTTTGTAAATATCACGTATTTAATCGTATTTCAAATTATTGATAAATTTCCAGTGCTAGATTACGTCATGACAATAGTTACATAAGTATGTCATACATGTGTTAAACCAAGTGATTATGTTCTCTTAAGCATATATAAAATACAGAGAACCCTTCTTCACCATTTCATACATCATGTTCTATCATATCATATGTTGTAGTATGTATCGTTATGTGGCAGGATCTATAATTTCAATATTTGTATTGAATTGTCTCAGTATTGTATTAGTCTTATTTATTAGTTTCGTTTATACTGTATGCGTCTAAGTGTTTAGTCTAGTTTTCGTCTGCTTATATCGTATCGTTTGGTCATTGGTCAGTTTTGTCTTTGTCTTACGTCACAATCTTGTGTCTTATTTTATTGGCTCTTGTCCATTTCGCGCTTTTTGTTTGTTCCGGTCATTGTCTGACTGGACAGTGAGGTGACCAGAGAAATTGTAAAGTCGTGCGGGTGAATATCTGCAAACCTCATGTATAACTACCCGCTCACCTGTACGATGCCGGTCATATTTACAACAGACAAGATTTCCCCTATAACTCTGTGCCATACACAGAGTTAATCTCTTGTCGCCTGCAATAAAAACCAGGTTAATGGTTGAGAAACTTACGAAGGTGTTGTGGTGTTTTGCCCATAACCCGACCCTGTAACAGTTATATACTTGGGTTAATATCTTATCTTGCAGAACAAATATTAATAAAAATTATTTTCATAAATTACTAATTATTTTAAGGTTCTATTATGACTGGAATTCGTTCTTTAAACTAAATTGTATATTTAGTGACGTATATATCATTTGTATAAAAATAAAGATAATTTTATTTTAGTATCCTTCATTATTCTACCTGTCAGATTTACTATAAATTTATGGTTGATTCTTAATCATTTGATCACGGACTTATATACATGTGTATATAAGTCCGTGATTTGATATATCAAAATATTTTTCAAAATAATAATTTCAGCTTATATGAAACGGTATATACCTGACTTGCCCTTGCTCCCCCAAACAGAACCTTCCTATGTTTAAAAAAATTATAGCGTTCAGAGAACATCCATGTAGGATCATATACATATGTGAGGATATACTAAATATGTTTAAATCGTCGCTTTTTTCTAGAACTTACCAGGTCGCATTGATCTACAATTCTATTTCTTGTTTTAATTGATATAAGCGACTCTCACTGTTCGCAGTAGTAACTTTTATAAAACTAAGGATATGTAGGCCTGCCTTATCATTTCTTCACAACTTATGTCTTCACTGTCTGACCTATACTGACCTTTAGAACTATGGATGACAAGGCGGACAATACATGTGACGACTCCAGTATAGAGAAGAATCACAAAGGCTTTTTGGAAAAGAAATAAGGACACACCAGTCTCTGGATACACTAAAAATGTCTTTGTTTAAAATGAAAACAATATTTTGGTCTGATTTAATGAGCGTGAGAGGGGCTTTTATAAGTGTGCGGGTGTACATGTCGTCTACTCGTCCGCTCAAAGACCGAAAGGCTGTTACAGTGAACGTAAAACACGTTAGAAAGATCGTCTTACTAGCCTTGGCTAGAGGGAAGCAGCTAAGCGCCGGCCAGTCGTTACAGACCGAATGGTCGCTAGGCTTAGTTCGATCCCCACAGGACAGGGCATTTTTCTATCCTGCTTCCTATTTCACAAAAAGACTATACTAAAGTCATTACTGAGTTCCAAACATCCCAGAAATTATCATTTTTGTAACAGTAAATAAATTTATTTTGTAAATATTATTTGCATACTACACTCGGAACAAATATGAAAAGAACCACTTTCGAGTTTCTCGGCTATTTACCTTTCAAGTTGGGTGAGATAATCGAGGAAACGTGAACTTTTGGTGTTAATATGATAACTACTCACCTTTAACGAACGTGTTTCGAAGGGCAGATAACTGATGACGTTAACATTCGATCTCAGGTGACACACGAGCTTCCATACCTACTTTTGTATGTGTGTGTAAATGCAGTCTACACATTTGCTCTCTACATAGGCATCAGTCAACGATGAACATGGCGGAGACGAAAATTAAAGAGGACAAAGTATGCATAGTCGGAAGGTAAGGTAGATGTCATATGTGTAACTTGTTGAGTTTTTTTAAAATTAAATTTAAATCAATGAAATGTCAAACGACAAATATGCAGCTTATTTATATGTACCTAGAATCGACCTGTGCTTAACAGACCTACTCCGCTATGGTTGTGTGCTTTTTTATTCAATCTATATACATTTTATGGGTAGTTGTGATACGTGCTAAGTTGTCACAAATTTTGATCACTATTTAGGGCTCGACTATTTGGGGCCTTGTGTCAAGCGATAGGAGAAGTGTCGCTTTGAGAGCGAAAGGTCTCCCTTGCAGAGATAAAGAAACTAGGTTTATGTTGAAGGGTTAAAGATGTGCAGGAGGGAGTAGTGTTGAAGTAGAGAGTATATTTTCCATTACTCCTTAACATGTTGAGCACATATATATATGTGAAGTCATGCGTTTAAAATGAGGGTAACCAAGGTTCTGAGGCTAAAATATCAATACGTATATTGCATACAACTACATTGCATACAAGAATTTCGATATTCGAATCCTGCGAAGATCCAGGATATATTATAATGGTGTTTTCCCGCACAAGCTGTTACACGAAATTCTGATAGATGTCAAGAGCATAAAACATCAAATTTAGTAAAGAAAAAAAAAACATTGTGGCAAGCATATAGCTAACGTATAGCACAGATGAAATTTCCATAACAAATGCTGAAAATCGCAATATATTGAGGATCTTTAAAAGTTCTGTTTTTGATGTCATGTATGTTTTATAAATATCTATATTATTCGCGAACGTGAAGCACGGACAAAAAAAATTTCTTATTGTGACATGTTAAAGGATAAAACAAATAAAAAGCTGGTCAAAGCATTAAAAAATGGAGTTCAAATTTCTTCGACGTGGGATAATTTAACGTCACGTGTGAGAACAAAAGTAATCCAAAAATTATATTTCAGTGGTGGAAATGTAATAAATATACTATTTGCAGTCAAAGTCAACAGTTATATAGCGTACATGACTTAACACGGGACTTAAGATGACGTCACAATTAATGATGAAACAGGCAAACGATTACGTTCTTAACAACTCTGTGTTCACATGCATATCATAATCCGACCGCGGCGTATCATCCTCCATTTGGCCGCATACATTGAATCACCTCAAGCAGGGGGTCACATGAGCTTATGTCATGGCGCGGCGTCCGGAGTCAACTTTCCCATTAAAACGACTTCGCAATAACCAGAAGACAAAAATGTGAGGATATTCGGCTGGTCGCGACAAAGTTTGCGAAAGGAAATGACCTTGATCCTTATTCAGGGTTACAAGCCCAAGGCAGAAGCTCAGAATCTCACACAAACAGCTCCAAGTTCTTAACGGTCATCTGTTATCGTTTGGACGTAATGTAGCCCCTGTCACCAAATCTCCTAGTATCTCGTCAACATCTCAAAATATAACTAAAACAATGCAGTTGGTGCAGTAAAAATAAGCCAAGCAAACAAACTCTGAACAAATGTAACCCTGGTAAAATACTAGCCGCAATATACCACTCGGCTAGAGAGAACTTCTCTTTAGCTCAATTGGTTGAGTGTGAGACTAGTAAGCCAGGGGTCCCGGGTTCGATTCCTAGCGGAGGCATTGAAATAAATAATGACCTCTGTTAAACAAATTCTCCTATATCCAATTAAAATACAACCGTGAATCCCAACTCATCTTCACTACAGACATAAATACGATGATCAACGACCCTTATGCATTTGAATATCTAAATCAATGATATTCGAACCCAACTGATCGACAACCCGGGATCTTTATTTTTACAGCCTTTTATACGCTCCCCAAAGTTCCGTTCTGCTCCCCTGCTTATTGCTGATGTGTAAGAACCGTCTTTCATTTGACAATAATATCAGTCAGACTAACAATTCTTAGATAATAATGTTAAACTTTTAAGAGAAATTTGGAAAACGCCATGGTTCACAAATTGAAGTGCTAAATAATCTCTGTTTTGTAAAAAAAAAAAATAAATAAAATCTGTTGCAGCGGACTGATAGGAAGGAGCTTCGCTATGTTATTCGCAGCTTCTGGTTACCAAGTCCATCTGTACGACATCCAGTCCTCCCAAGTCACCGACGCTCTCAGCAACATCCGGAGCCAGCTGTTGGACCTTGAACGGAAAGGACTCCTGAGGGGGACATTGACCGTGGACCAGCAACACAATTGTATTCAGGGGGCCACAGACCTCGGCAAGGCGATAAAAGGGGCATGGTTTGTTCTGGTAAAACATATACGTCTCTCCACAAGAAGTTGGCACTAAATACCTAAAATGGGTAAAACACGTTTAAGCACTGTAGGATATGGAAAATGTGGCGAGTCCCTGTGTTCCTATCGAATGTTATTTTTAAAGAATGCGACTTATGTTTTCCTTAGACAGATAAGGCATGTTCATGGAAAGATTGGGCGCATTTCATAGCCCCACCCCCTCCACACACACTCATTGGATGTCACCGATAAGTAATGGTTCAGAGTAAAATGAAATAGTCTAGGTTCCATGTTGTAAGCATTTATAATTTCTTTACGAAACACGTAATTTTTTTCAAAGTGCATTATGAAGTCGTTATGCAGTTGAATGATGACTTTGCGATCTGGGCTTGGTCAATATTTTCCATTAACGATCGTACATATTTCTGTTTGGCTATGCATTTTTAAATTGCTCTAGAGGGATAATATTCCTGAAATATTTCATAAATGTATGAACTCATATACAGTATAACATGTAAACTGTTTTAAAAGTACATTATTAATAATCAAACTTGTCTTATCAAACCACTGCATGACATTTTTGTCTTTCTTCTTCTTCTTCTCCAGAAAATTGTTATAACGAAAATAAAACTCATTTCGACCAAGTGGATATTCTTATTTATCTGTTTATATCATGGCTACTAAAAGTATTGAGAGACACATGATCTTCCCGCCATAGGAATGTGTGCCAGAGAGACTTGAACTGAAGACATCCGTATACAAGAATATTGAACCATTCCTTGAACCCACCGCTATTTTGGCGTCCTCCGCTAGCGCTCTTGTTCCTTCCCTCCTCTCCAAGGACATTAAAAACCGTAACAGGTTCATCGTTGTACATCCGGTAAGTCGCAACACATTAAGTAATTCTGTACTATCTATTACACTTTAAAACACGGGTCATTGTATTGTGGCGGGTCATTGAATTGCGGCTTTTTCAAACTAACCGTCCATTCAGCACCCATAACTCATTCATATATTGGATCTTCATGAAGTCAATGAGTATTTTCTGTCAAAGAATCAAAGCCTTCTGTGTCGTGTTTTTCTAGACGAATCCCCCATTTTACGCACCTGCAGTGGAACTGATTCCCGCACCATGGACGGACGCCGACGTACTCACGTCCACCAAGAATTTGTGCACGGAGATAGGACAGGTACCTGTTGTCCTTAATAAGGAAATTGACGGGTTCGTCCTTAACAGGATACAGTACGCTATAATTGGAGAATGCTGGAACATAGTCAAGGTATATATGCATCACGTAATTCAATGAAACCTAATTGGATTGGAGTCTATTAATTGTACCTGCAATATTCTTGGAAAAAAAAAACTTAAGTAAGGTCGGGAATGATAAAGTAAGTAAGATGGATGCTGGTAAGTGGTGAAATTTTTCGTTATACCGTATGTCGTTACCTCATAATTACGAATTAAACTTCACAACATACATATTTGGCGTTTCATTGGAATAATCGGCTTGATTTAGCTGAAATGTAACATATCCTTCGCAATGTTATTCGTAACCTCTGTACGACAGCCAGTCCTCCCAGGTCACGACGCAATGTGAACTTTTCCTATGTGAACTCCTTTTGTTTATTTTTTAGTTCGTTATAGAGTGACATAATTTCGTAAAGATAACCATCGTTATGATATCATGAGATTACAAGAACGTTCACACCTATTTCAAAAGTGAGGTAAGTCATGACCCCAACTCATTCATCAGGATACCAAAGCTGTGCCTATAGACTTCCTTAATCTCTGCCTTGTTGTAGGACGGGGTGATGAGCCCAGAGGATGTAGATAAAGTCATGTCAGAGGGACTGGGGAGGAGATACGCCTTTATGGGTCCCCTGGAGACAGCCTACCTCAACGCCGACGGTAAGATTATTTTTTTTCAAAGATGAAGGATAATATTACTAATGGCGCTCAAATTAAACAAAGCAAAAAAAAAAAAATAAAAACAAAAACCATCACCTGATACAGTAGTAAATATTTGAATACATTTCCTCACGCAGGAGAATGAAGTTTGGACACTATAATTATTTCTTCAGTTCAACATTTTAAAGATTGGTTGAGATCTTGCATCTTAATTGACCGTTTGGAATACTCAAGAAGTCTGTCGAAATACCGCTCTTGGTTTTCATGGAAACATGGAATCTGATTGATCAACGGAATTCCTGTCCAAGATTGAGAAGTTACAATGAACCGTTTCTACTCTGTTTGCTGATAAATACATTTAAAATCACGAAATTCAATAATGTTGGTTGTGCATTGGCTAATCTAATGAAAAACGGCCAGCAATCGCTTGGTCAGGACCAAAATAGCGGCACTGATATCATAGTGGATATTGTAACAGAGCGGGTAAGGCAAGTAGAAGAACACCAGCATGGATACTGTTTAACAAAAGATATATATGAAGAATATTTTCATGAGCAGTCCTATGAACTTATTATCCCGGTATGTTTAGGTTGGTTGAGTTACCAGGAACGTTACGCAGGAATGATGGATCGTGTGTCGTCATCATTTGCACCGTTCCCGAAGATAGAAGGACCGACATTACAGAAAATACACGATGCATTTCTTGAAAAAATACCAATCGACCAACTAGATGAACGCCGGAAGTGGCGGGATGAACGACTTGCCCGACTGTCTAAACTGAAAAAGGACATGGATTCATAAATCTGAATATATATCACCTCGTGAATACGATAGTTTTATATCATTAAAGCTCATTACTGTATTTGGTTTTAATTGTTTGTTGTTGTTGTTTACTATTGTTGATAGAATCGACCCGTCAATAATCAGGGTATTTTTTAGACGAGGTCTCCTTAATTTCTAATAATTAATGGTTTTCGCCTTGAGCAACATACTGGAGGCCCGTTGCAGACCGTCCAGACCAATTGGTTTAAAGTGTCTTGCCCAAGGATACAACCACACCAGGAAAGATTGGCCCAGAAATACAAACCTCCACAGACAGGGAGTGTCAAACATTGCACCTATCTATACTTAAAGGATTGCAATGTTATATATTTATACCAAGTTTTCTCCAAACACTTTGTTCTCATGTGGATAGTCTTCATTTTGGAGGAAAACTTTTGGATGAAACTACTGACCACATGCTGATAATGCCTGCATATTTTGGTCAGAACCACCAGTGTTATAAATACATCAATACATACAGATTTGATGTGCATTCCTTTATCTTCTCGTCGTTGTCGCGTTTCATTCCATTTTGATACAAAATTACGCGTTCGACATTAGTTGCTACCAGCGTAACATTACTTGCTGATATTAAATAGTAAGAGAAAACCGCCTACCCTTTCGGTACGTAAGTTCTCGTCGTCTTAGTGTTTTTTCTAGTTCTTTATTGAAAACCTTTCTTCGTTAATATTTTGCACCCTTGTGATCGATTTTGAGTTTGAATTCCACTTTTGTGAACGTGCTGGTATTTTCTTGTTATTTCAGTCGTGCTTAACTCTTCACATAATTACCGTTATTCTTTATTCGGAGCTTTGTGTTACGTCCTGGCAACGCATGACAACAACTGGGACAATTTTATGACTTGCTTCTAGATACTTATAGTTAGTTTCTTGTACAAGAACCATCGTTCCTCTTTACCGGACTCGATATCTCCCGATAGGGTAGACCTGTCACTTCCTGGTGACTCTGTTTCGACTTTCTTCCAAACCTTGCTTAAATGTATTGGTGTTTGGTGCCATGACCACATTTGTGGAAGATTTAGTTATGCCTGAGATTACAACGTATATCGTAAGAAAAGAGAGGAGAGAAAGGAATAAAATCCATCAAAATTAATGTCATTTCACTATATTCGTTAATAAGTTACAATGTGCAAAAAGACCGTCACTCTTTAACATTCAAAAATGTATGTAACTATGGAAATGTCTGATCTGATTTAAGATGATTTATTAATTTAAATATATGCTCTCAAGATATACCAGGCTAATCTATAAAACAGAACAAAATTTTGCATCACTTCATTTTTATAACAAGATTTTTTTTACATTATATTCATCACACTTTTACAATTGGAGACATATAAGTAATTACAATATGTAATTATAATCAATAAATTAATCAATTCATAATATCAGTAACATTTATTCATAATTGTAACATCATTAAAAACTTTTTCATTTTTACTTTGTGTATTGTCTCTTGAATAACATTCATGGAGTATCAAAATACTGACTAACTTAACATACACAATTTTAAAAGATTACCATATAATCATTCATCACTGAACATCCACTGCCTCTTGGAATTACTCGTATTCTGACAAGTTCTAGCTGACCTATTACAGGAGGGCCAAGCACCATCTAATTTCTCCACTTGATCAGATTGAAAGCAATTTACTTTTATTTCAAAGTATCAAAAAATATTTCAGTTCGATTTTTGTTCATTCACAGCATGAGAACAAGATTTTGTGTCTTTTAAATTTGAACAAACAGGCATTAAATGTTTTAAATGTGAAAAAGAAAAAAAAAAATAAAAGAATGAAAAGTCTGGCAATAGCATATTAAAGAGATTTAGTTCTGTAGGTTGAAATGAGACAGTACTTTACCTACATTTTCACATACCCTGTAAACCATCAGCCACTATTTAACAATCAGTCGGAGATCATCTTGTTTCTTTAATTTGTTTGGTTACTCTCTAGTCTTTAAATATTGCCAAGTAATCATTACAATTCATTTGGATGCTCTCTGATTTTTACATAGAAAAAAAGATCAACATTTATTCTCTGACCTTTACATTCAGATTATACCATGTAGTCAATCATTCACATGCAATTAACACTTAATCATCATTCTGAATATGACATTCATTGTATATACTATACTATTCCAACACCATTCATAAAACTCTCATTGACACAATCATTCAGTCGTCCGTTATTATTAAAGCATTCATTTCCATCAATCATTTTTCTCCATCTAAAGTCTTCTTGAGCTTTGATAGTTCGGCCAGTCGTTTGTCTCTCCAACTCCGTCTCTCTGCTAGCTTGTCCAATGGGATGGTCTGGTTGAATTCCTCCTGGACTTTCTGCGCTGTTGCCACGTCATACATCACCGGTACTGGTTTAAATGTTTCTTTCTGTACATTGTACGCTCCCTCAGCATATCGATCACAGTAATCTGTTATCCCTGAAGTAAACACAGAATACTAATTCAATACACCCTTTTAACATTAATAGTTTACTGTAAGGTACTGTGTCAGTTTAGCTGAATAAATACAAGGTCCTGTGTCAGTTTAGCTGAATAAATACAAGGTCTTGTGTTAGTTTAGCTGAATAAATACAAGGCCCTGTGTCAGTTTAGCTGAATAAATACAAGGCCCTGTGTCAGTTTAGCTGAATAAATACAAGGCCCTGTGTCAGTTTAACTGAATAAATACAAGGCCCTGTGTCAGTTTAACTGAATAAATACAAGGTCCTGTGTCAGTTTAACTGAATAAATAAGAGGTCTTGTGTCAGTTTAGCTGAATAAATACAAGGCCCTGTGTCAGTTTAGCTGAATAAATACAAGGCCCTGTGTCAGTTAAACTGACTAAATACAAGGCCCTGTGTCAGTTTAACTGAATAAATACAAGGCCCTGTGTCAGTTTAACTGAATAAATACAAGGTCCTGTGTCAGTTTAACTGAATAAATAAGAGGTCTTGTGTCAGGTTAGCTGAAAAAATATAAGGCCCTGTGTCTGTTAAGCTGAATCAATAAATATAAGGCCCTGTGTCTGTTAAGCTGAATCAATAAATATAAGGCCCTGTGTCTGTTAGTTTAACAAGGCCCTGTGTCTGTTAATCAATAAATACAAGGCCCTGTGTCTGTTAAGCTGAATCAATAAATACAAGGCCCTGTGTCTGTTAAGCTGAATCAATAAATACAAGGCCCTGTGTCTGTTAAGCTGAATCAATAAATACAAGGCCCTGTGTCTGTTAAGCTGAATCAATAAATATAAGGCCCTGTGTCTGTTAAGGCCCTGTGTCTGTTAAGCTGAATCAATAAATACAAGGCCCTGTGTCTGTTAAGCTGAATCAATAAATACAAGGCCCTGTGTCTGTTAAGCTGAATCAATAAATATAAGGCCCTGTGTCTGTTAAGCTGAATCAATAAATATAAGGCCCTGTGTCTGTTAAGCTGAATCAATAAATATAAGGCCCTGTGTCTGTTAAGCTGAATCAATATATACATGGCCCTGTGTCTGTTAAGCTGAATCAATAAATATAAGGCCCTGTGTCAGTTAAGCTGAATCAATAAATACAAGGCACTGTGTCTGTTAAGCTGAATTGAATAATCATAAAATCATGTGTCAATTATCAGCTGAAGCAATAAATACAAGACCATTTGTCACTTAAGCTGAAGAACTACATGTACATGGTCTTGTGGAAAAAATTTCTCATCAACTTGGAATATTTTAAACATATGTTTTTCTGAAGGGACTGGATGATGCTGGGTGATATTTTTCATGTCTATCACATCAAGAAGATGTATATAACTATGTTTTCATGGGAGTAAAAGCGAAATGGTACATTAAGACAAACAAATATTTGGAGTTCCTTCTTGCAAGGAAAATTCAAATTTCTGAAAAAAAGATAGCAGTTGATTTGATAAAAGAAGTGACCAGGAAAAGAAATTCCATTATCAAAATTCCTGGGGTTACTATCACTAACAATCTCTTTGCAGAGAGTGCAAAAGATCGTAACCCCTGGAATTTTGAGGTTGGAGAAATTCTTGAGAAGTTCAACAATTCACACATTTGGTAATAATGTCAAATAATTTGAAAGCCAAAATAGGACAAACTCAGTGGGTCAGTAGGATTCTAGTTGTATAAACTTACCATTTGCATTGAGGTGCATGGTCTCCAAGGGTCCAATGAAAGCATATCGAAGACCCAGTCCATTGTGACATACTCGGTCAATATCCTCGGCACTTAGGAGTCCAGACTGAAAGAGGAACACAACCCATGCATTTCTACGTGATGTTGTTTTCTTTTTGCATTATACATCAATTGTACTTCATCTATTTTAATGTGTAAAAAACCTCAATTTGACTGTGAAAAAAATACAACATTATTCACAAAAATATAGAGAGAGAAAAGATAAGAAAATCTATCACATTGGGGCTGGATAGAATCACTGTATTAATAGATCTCTTCATAGTCAAAGAAAACATTTGTTTTTAAACGTTGATTGAATGATGGTATAACTGGATAAATGCAGGTTAAAAACAATGTTGAATTAATTGGCTCTCTGACCTAAGATACAAATCATCAGAGTTTCGTGTTTATTTTTTACTCTATTGTATTTACTTTATTGTTTAATTTTTGGTCCCCTCTTTGATTTTCACATCCCCCAGAAGTGATAATTAATCTTCAACACTTTCCAATTGTAAAATGTAACATGAGAAAAATAGTATGTGCCAATGTCTCTCTACCTGATACATATTCCAACTTTCGTTGATAGCAGCGTATTGTATTCTGTTGAGGGCAAAACCCAGACTTTCCCTCCGTAATGTTATTGGTGATTGGCCGACCTCCTCCATCAGTGCACGCACCTTGGTAACAACATCCTGATTGGTCCAGGGAGCTGGCACTAATTCCACCAATGGAATGAAGTATGGTGGGTTTATCTACCAATTAAAGACAAAGATATTAGAAACACATCACATAAATACATTCAAAACCCCAAAAATAATATGAGGAGCTTTTATGAATATGACTTTTCTAATATCACAATAGTGAGCTAGTGTCAATCTTACTAGTGAAACATAAAATCTGATCTATATTGTTTATATACACAAATTATGATGTAGATAGGTCTACACAGATATATGATTTTTAGGTGATAAAAAATTCTGGTTTTATAAGGTTTATATATGACCTAATGGTCTCATTACAGTTAAATCAACCATACTGTCATCACAGAAATTCAAATATTTTTTACAGTAAGATATTAAAAAAAGGAAAGACAAAACCTGTAGAATGAAAACCTACTGGGTGTGCCACTAACATGTTGGACTTGTGAGAAAGACCATCTGTAAACATGGATGCACACAAACAGCTGCTGGAACTAGCCAAGATCATGTCCTCACTCGCAACTGCATCCATCTCTGCAAACACCTTCTTCTTCAGCTCAAGATTCTCCGGTACACATTCCTGGTTAACGAAACACACCCAAATAAATAGACCATATAACCATCTTTAAGTCTGTCAGAAGAAGTTTTTTTTTTAAATGTTTTAACAAATTTGATGCCTGTTACCATGAATATGGGTCAAGGTTAATTTTTTACAGACTTTGCTGGCTTTATCCCAGAAACCCACCAACCAAATGCAATGACATTTGGTCTGTTGGTTATTGAGAGAAGTTGTTTAAATGGAAAAGTTGATGATGGACACACAGACAATGGACACCACACCACGGCATAGGCTCATTTGGCCCTTTGGACTAGGTGAGTTAAAAATAGAAAGTAAAGATCATGGGGTGGGGGGAGGGGGTTACAATAGTTAGCTCTTGACTTGGATAATTTACAGGTTATTCCAATCAACCTTCAACTGATGAACATCACTTTTCTAAAACCAGTGTCAGTGTGTGATGTCATTTCATTAGCTTCTTCTGACACCACAATACTAATGAGCTTACATATAATGGTAAAAAGTTTAACATGGGTATATTCACAAAACAATATAACCATCATGTGATATATTCTCTTATTTACAATTACATCTGTAACTGCTCCAACTACAATGTATGATAAGAAGGTCATTAATTTGTGTAATTTTAAATACCTGAACATAAAATGAATCTTTCAGACATTCAGATAATGAACTACTTGTAGAAACTAAAGACATCTGCTGAGCAGCTGTCAATTTTCCTCGCAGGTAACCATCCCGTTCATACTGTTCCATCGTATTTTTTAAGCTTGTTTGTGCACGTGTAAGTTGGTCAGGATCAACATCGAACACAGTCACATTATAACCTGCGCCAGCGAATATCATGGACCAGTTCTGTCCAATAAGGCCACTGAAATAGATAAACAATTGGAACTAAAGCAATCTCTTATTAGTTACAGCAGGGACGAATAATACAGAATTATATGTCCCTGGTTACAGGTACAGTCCTGTGCACTCATAATTCATCACTATAGTTATCATTGCCACTAGATGCCAAGTTACTTCCCTTTGTAAAGTATACATTGAATAACTGAAATATCATCACCATGTCAGTATTAAGTTTTTGAACTTTAGAGCATTTACATAAATATATGTCTGTTATGCTTTCTGACTTTATTTTAATACAGTTTTATTTGTGTGGTCTCATAAAAAATTTAAACTCTAAACAGGATCAACAAGTTCAATTTGAAACTTTAAAAAAAACACACAAAACAAATGTAGCCTTGCTAAATACTAGCTGCAATATACTGCTTGGCTAGAGAGAACTTCTCTTCAATTACCGTAACTTGATCGCTTGAGCATCAGACTAGTAAACCTGAGGTCCTGGATTAGAATCCCAGTGCAGGCATTGAAATAAATAATGATCTCTATTACACAAACAAGAAAACAAACAAAAAAAAACATTCAATTACTTTTTTCTCAAGTTATTGGGTAATTTCTGAAAATCACGAAATAACCTGGTGTGATAAAGGAGCACATTGACGAACCCCTTTTGAATATTAAACTGCCATAAGGTGACACATTTCTTTGAACGTCATGTCAAAAACATTAGAATTGAAACCTGTGTTTTGTTAGTTGAGCCATACAGACAATCAGAATGGTGGCGTCCTCCCTTAATTGAGGTATAATTATCCATGCACCTAGTTCCTAAGTCATGGAATCGCTGTGTCATTTTTGTCACTGACTGCATTTGCAGACACTGTCATTTGATGAGATTACCTGCCAACGATTGCAATTTTGCCAAGTTTGTTTCCTGGTGTGGCTGCCATGCTTCGGGTGTATCGTGTAGAGGTACTGGGCGTAAGACACTAACAATGAACCGAAACGAACGCACCTATAGATGTTTGACTCTCTTGTAGAGTTGTCGTTCCTAACTAACTTATCTTTGGCGTAAATCATACCAACTCATTTTCGAGTCTTTATTTCCAAAACATCTGACCATCAAATATGATAAAAAAAAGTATCCGATTGTTGAATCTTTCACAACTTATCAGTAAGAAAAGAACGAATATATTTCTAAATTAATTCATATTTGTTTCAAGAAATAATGATTTTTGTTTTTGTTTTAAAAGATTTTTTCACAAGTTCACGTTTCACATTCTGTCTAAACTTACAGTTGAAACCCCGATTAGCTAACGCTATGCATCCCTCTGTTACCATGGGGAAAATAAAGATTGAATAATTAAAAATCACCGTTTACAAGCTTCATCGTGATACCTTCAAACCGTTTAACTGAAATATGAATTATTAACTATCGAAATAACGTGTTCTCGGACCAAACTTTACTTTAAAGGATCACAAGCAAGGACACGGGATAATGCTCCGGCTGTTGAGAATGTGTAGATATCATACTATTCCATTCTTTTTAGCCATTAAACAGAGTCCAGAGGTATGAAGTACCTACTTTTAAGCCCATCTCGCTTTTAAGACCATTGTTGTCCAGTCCCCAAAGTGATCTTAATAGCTGGGTTTCACTGTATGTATCTGTAGATGTCGGTCCATTCTTCTGCGCGAAGTTTTGCAGGGAAAGCAACATATATATATAAATGTAATCTCGCTCCGGTTGCATGGCTAAACTACAATTTTTTTTTAGTCAAATAAAGAAAGTGAGTTTCAGCATTAGAACTTGCGGTATCAAAATAACCGTGAAGAACATCATGTTATATTCTGGCTATTTTTTTCAATAACCTCACGTGATGTTACAACATGTAATAAACCATTCTAAATTTGCACAAAAATGGATATTTTGAACCACGCACTAAGAAGGATATTTACTGAGTCCGTTATTCAAACAGCGACGAAAGGCTCCCCTCCAATACATTCATAAAATTTACAATCATGAGCTGAGATACGTCGTGTACAGTCGTCGCAAAATGTACACACAGAGGTGTGTAAAACCAGGGCGTCCCTGGTAAAACCGAGGCTAGATAAGAAACGGACTTAACATCGTTCCAAATATAATGATTTTGTACTTTTCTTATAACGCACGGACCGCAGCGATATTTCGGGTATCTTTTAAGCCCACAATTGAGGATGATCTCTGTTTGGTTAATTCAGAATGCTCGACAATGATTGGTGGTTAATTCAGAATGCTCGACAATGATTGGCCAGTCAGAACAATTTCTCATATTTCACTTTTGAAACTCGCTTTCTTCTGATGTTCATTTCTCAGAAATGAATGATTACAATCCGATGTTGGGTATGATGAATTTTACATGTAGAGCACACATGAATATGAATTTCGATTCCCCCCCCCCCCCCCCCCCGGCTACATAATTTCAGAACAACGATTATTAATCTTCGATTGAAAATGATTAAATAGATGAATTATATACATTATTTACATTGCTTATTGTTTTTCCCGCTGATTAAAATACTGACGTCACTGAGTGTAACACTTTGATGTAGATACTAAATATAGCACCGACAACCTACAAATACATTTAATGTGAAATTTGAAACGTGAAAACAATGTTTTCTGTTCGATTGTTAATTATTGTACACCCATGTATCAGAATAAAACGATATACGTAAAACTACTTACTAAAATGTGAACAGAACCGTATATAATATAATATAATATAATATAATATAATATAATATAATATAATATAATATAATATAATATAATATAATATAAGTAGTTCTTACCACCCGCGTCAGATTTTGTTTGTCGGTACAGCATTTTTTAAAACCAGATAAACAGTGTGACAAGTGAAAGTTCACCAGATGAGTTGTCAATATGAATTTTACAAGGGTTTTATATCCCGAGAGACATGTAGTTTTATAGGTACATGTATATAACTGGTTATAATGTTATACGTGTCCAAAGCTAACGATAATATTCAAATTTTGTATTTTGGGATAAATATGTCCCAGTAGAGAACTCATTGAAATAAACGAAAGCCACCATTAACAATCGCGAATTGATTACTTTCCGATGAGTCGACTACAAGACAGACATAGAAAGTAATATGTGAATTAGCAGTCGAAGGCACCCTGTGTCATTTATACACAAATACTAGAGTTACCTCCCCTTGTTATTTTGAGTTCCTAATCAGAAATTAACAAGAGCGTGGGTAAGCTGTCTGTGACTATGGCGCGTTACATGTGTCAATACTCTGTATTTAAAAGGACAGAACCATGACATGAATACACATTACATTAGGAAAAGAGCGAAACTTCACGATGAACCTTTCACTGATTGGTTTTCGGCTTAATTTCTAAGACAGAGTAGGACTGTTTTCTGTAACGTTTCGCCAACTCCGAATTTATACATGATCTTATCAGAACTGTTGTTGTGGTGAGTATAAATGGACTGTGCTACAGAAAATGAAAATAAATACAGAATTATTTCGATGATAAATATTTCAATATTATCTACCAAGGCCCGTGTGCCCACGAGAAAAATTAATTACCCTCCCCAAGCGATCTTTGTCCGAAGTACAAACAATAATATTGCGTTCTGCACAGGTGACGTAAGCTTTGTAAACTGAAAAAGATAACGTTGAATAAGTTGTATATTAATACAGGGCATTCAATACCAACATCGGAGTACATGTTATGTCTACTTGAATTAGTGGTTGTCTTTGGTATATCTTTGCCATTTTTTTTATAGACAGTGATGTTCAATGTAAACTTTACAGGATCCACTGGATTGAGAGGATGTAAGAGAACTCCGAACACATCCTGTCTTTTCACAGGATAAAGATATTATCAACTCAGACAGTTTGGTGTATAAATGAAGGCACAATATGAGATACATTATTGCAGGATTGTCTAGCATCAGCTTGTTCAATGAGTTTCCCTCTTGGTCTCAGGTCTTCCTGTGTACAATAATTAACACTATGCATTAATTAAGGCATATAGAGACCAATAGATAATATTCCTATTAATCAAATTTATTATGAATTCCAAATTGCGGTTAGATAATGGGAATAATCCTGGAAATAGGGTTCTCTATCGTTGTTGTTAAATAAAAATTAAATAAATAAACGAGTAGAATATCAGAGGCTGATGTGTAGGATATACGTAGGAGAGTCGGATGTGTTATAGAAGGTGTAAATGGAGGAGGGAGTTATTTGTAAAGGGTGTAAACAGGGGAGAAGGGTGTTTAATAAAAGGTGTAAATGGAGGAGGCACTGTTTTGTATAAGGTGTAATTGGAAGAGAAAGGTGTTTTACAGTGGAAGTAAATGAGAGAAACAAAATGTGTTTGATAGAAATTATTAAAGGAATATAAAGATGTAAATGATTGATAAAGGGTGTAACGAAATGGAAGAGAGACTTTTTTTTGCAGAAGTGGAAGAGGAATGCTTTGTAGAGGGTGTAAATGGAGTAGACAGTGGTTTGTAGAGGGTGTAAATGGAGTAGACAGTGGTTTGTAGAGGGTGTAAATGGAGGAGACAGTGGTTTGTAGAGGGTGTAAATGGAGGAGACAGTGGTTTGTAGAGGGTGTAAATGGAGGAGACAGTGGTTTGTAGAGGGTGTAAATGGAGTAGACAGTGGTTTGTAGAGGGTGTAAATGGAGTAGACATTGGTTTGTAGAGGGTGTAAATGGAGTAGACAGTGGTTGTAGAGGGTGTAAATGGAGTAGACAGTGGTTTGTAGAGGGTGTAAATGGAGGAGACAGTGGTTTGTAGAGGGTGTAAATGGAGTAGACAGTGGTTTGTAGAGGGTGTAAATGGAGTAGACAGTGGTTTTAGAGGGTGTAAATGGAGTGGAGGAGACAGTGGTTTGTAGAGGGTGTAAATGGAGTAGACAGTGGTTTGTAGAGGGTGTAAATGGAGGAGACAGTGGTTTGTAGAGGGTGTAAATGGAGTAGACAGTGGTTTGTAGAGGGTGTAAATGGAGTAGACATTGGTTTGTAGAGGGTGTAAATGGAGTAGACAGTGGTTGTAGAGGGTGTAAATGGAGTAGACAGTGGTTTGTAGAGGATGTATATGGAGTAGACAGTGGTTTGTAGAGGGTGTAAATGGAGTAGACAGTGGTTTGTAGAGGGTGTAAATGGAGGAGACAGTGGTTTGTAGAGGGTGTAAATGGAGGAGACAGTGGTTTGTAGAGGGTGTAAATGGAGTAGACAGTGGTTTGTAGAGGGTGTAAATGGAGTAGACAGTGGTTTTAGAGGGTGTAAATGGAGTAGACAGTGGTTTGTAGAGGGTGTAAATGGAGTAGACAGTGGTTTGTAGAGGGTGTAAATGGAGGAGACAGTGGTTTGTAGAGGGTGTAAATGGAGTAGACAGTGGTTTGTAGAGGGTGTAAATGGAGGAGACAGTGGTTTGTAGAGGGTGTAAATGGAGTAGACAGTGGTTTGTAGAGGGTGTAAATTGAGGAGACATTGGTTTGTAGAGGGTGTAAATGGAGTAGACAGTGGTTTGTAGAGGGTGTAAATGGAAGAGACAGTGTTTTGTAGAGGATGTAAATGGAGTAGACAGTGGTTTGTAGAGGGTGTAAATGGAGGAGACAGTGGTTTGTAGAGGGTGTAAATGGAGGAGACAGTGGTTTTTAGAGGATGTAAATGGAGTAGACAGTGGCTTGTAAAGGGTGTTAATGGAGTAGACAGTGGTTTGTAGAGTGTGTAAATGGAGTAGACAGTGGTTTGTAGAGGATGTAAATGGAGGAGACAGTGGTTTTGTAGAGGATGTAAATGGAGGAGACAGTGGTTTTTAGAGGATGTAAATGGAGGAGACAGTGGTTTGTAGAGGGTGTAAATGGAGGAGACAGTGGTTTGTAGAGGGTGTAAATGGAGTAGACAGTGGTTTTGTAGTGGGTGTAAATGGAGGAGACAGTGGTTTGTAGAGGGTGTAAATGGAGGAGACAGTGTTTTTTTAGAGGGTGTGAATGGAGTAGACAGTGGTTTTGTAGAGAGTGTAAATGGAAGACAGTGTTTTGTAGAAAGTGTAAATGGAGGAGACAGTGGTTTGTAGAGGGTGTAAATGGAGGAGACAGTGGTTTGTAGAGGGTGTAAATGGAAGAGACAGTGGTTTGTAGAGGGTGTAAATGGAGTAGACAGTGTTTTTTTTTAGAGGGTGTGAATGGAGTAGACAGTGGTTTTGTAGAAAGTGTAAATGGAAGACAGTGTTTTGTAGAAAGTGTAAATGGAAGAGACAGTGTTTTGTAAAGAGTGTAAATGGAAGAGACAGTGGTTTGTAGAGGTTGTAAATAGAGTAGACAGTGTTTTGTAGAGGGTGTAATTGAAGTAGACAGTGGTTTGCAGAGGATGTAAATGGTTGGGAAAGGTCAGGTGTTATGAAGAGGATATGAACGGAAGAAAAATGTGTTTTATAAATGGTTAAGTGAAGAAAAGATGTTTTATAGAAGGTATAAATGGGTGCAGCAGATGTTTGATAAAGGGTGAAAATTAAGGAGAAAATGTAAGATGATATAAATGTATTCAGAGGAGAAAGATGTTTGATAAATAGGGGGATTCATGGAGAAGAGAAAAATGGTCTAGAGATTAATTTAGACAATATATCATTTTTGTTTAGAGTTTATATGTTAGAGAAAGAAGATGTGAAAGAGCAGAGCATGTTGCTTTTCCACTAGCCATATGATTAACAATATACTTATTTAACATGCATAGATGCATGTTGTAGGGACCTTGCAACCCTGCCTATGTTTTCTCTCTAGATTTGATGATAGAGCCTGTACTACACAAAAGATGGAGAGTAATACAGGCCCGATGAACCTCTTTTTTCCACTAGTTACATAGTAATTATTGACACTGTTTGTTGAACAAGTAAACTGTGGATGAAATAAATACTTTGAATCTTGCTATGCCCCATGATTTCAATATATTACTGTCATGTGGTTGTGGATTATGATCAGTTTAAACATATTTCATTGAAAAATGAAACAGTAAAAAGATCAATTTTACCAACTTGGTTCCAGATCTGATGTAACATGGAAAAGGATGTGATAAGGACACCTTCCTTCCAGGAGGCATCTGACCTCCTCAAAGTCCACCTTCAGAAGAAACACCGCATCAAACGACGCTCACCTTGCCCTTCTCAACCACCTACTAAACAAGAGATTCGCAATGAGGCTGCAAGGATTCTGGATCAGTTTCTTCAGAAGGAACTTAAAGAAAACAAGGGCAAACACAGGAGACCCCTGATAGGTACATAGTATACAGTATAGCTGGACATTGACTCATAATTTCAATTTAGGTTATAACATCATACAGTTATTTTTTGAGACCCTGCTCTCAGGAAACATTGATATCAGGACATATTTAGTGTCAAGCTTACTTGAAAGGCCAACTCTACTCCAATCTTCTCATGGGGTCACTTTATTTTTTTATGATGTCTTTTGTATCTCCCTTAACTTTTCTTTATAGCTGCAATATGTAGTTCCCGAAAGGACTTGTTGGAATTTCTCAAATATCTTATGTTGGCTGTCCTTTGTTGACTTACAGTGTTGACAAGGAAGTCATCTTGATTTGTGTGGAAGTTTGTTATTGTTTTTCCTAGGTATGTATATATATATATATATATATTGGCACCCATGGTCCTTAGTTAAGAACTTGCAACTATATGATTCATTTATTTATTCATATCTGTCAACACAACAAAATTTGTTTTAAAAGAAATTGATGTAAAGAAAGGACAGGGAAGAAGAGGAAAAATGAAGTGCACCTAGTACTTAAGTCCCTTTTTGATCTCCTGTGATGGTATGTGTATCCCACATTGTAATTATTTTGTTATCTCTGACAGGCACAGCATATCAACAGGTGACAGATGTAGATGTTACAGAGGAGGAGTACTACCTCCACAACTCTTATCACTCCCACCAGGGGGCACCACTGTCTCCTGACAGCTCAAGCGACAGGCAACAATCAGTTGGCAACTCCAGTCATGCAGGTCATACCTCTGTAATTCATTCCCGTGGACCCTCTGAACTCTCACATGCATCGTTGACCTCTGGTAAAACATCATCTGTGATTCATTCGCGCGAAACGTCAGAACTTTCTCGTACTTCAATTAATTCTGCTAAAACTTCCATCCATTCGTTACTAGCAGATAATGAGGATATACCATTTGCTGATGATTATGACACAGTGCCTCGGGCAAAGAGTTTGCCACCAAATCTGTCCCCAGCTCATAGAATCGATAATAATGTTATGACAACATCATACTCTTTGAGTCCCTCAAAATTAGAGAATTTAGACAAAAATAAAGACATTGATGATTTAAGGTTAAAGACAAAAGATTCAAGGGTAGCACCCAGGCCTGTCAATGGAAATTCATCATCAACTGTTATACCAAGAGGGCGTCAACGCTATAGATCTGGGTCTTTATCATCCTCGGATACCGAGAGTGAGGTAGTATCACCAGAAAGGAAGAAAAAATCTGTGTTTAAAAGAGCAAAAGAAAGATTGAATAGTGTGTTGAACAGAAGCAAAGACAGAAAGTCTGATGACAGAGATTGTGATAATGTAACGAAAAATGGGAAATACACTCAGAATAAAAAAGGTGGGGCTAAAGTTTTGGAGGAAAGACATACCCACAAACATGGCCATATAGAGCAGCATCATTATACAGATGGGGAGCGAACAGGCTTGGTGAGGTCTCAGGAAATCTGGGAGTCAACTGACATCACAGACCAGGAACATAGCAAACGAAAACACATTGACAAGCACAGCAATGTGAAAGAGAGTGCTGATCTGTCCAGTTCAGCCAAGACATCTGAGGGCGGAATTTTCAGCAGTCTCCGCAAGTTGACCACACGCAGAGGCAAGAGGTCGAGGAAGAAAGTTCCAGGTAGGTAATCTATTAAGGTTTACAGTGATCCAGATTTTAGGTTTATGAGCTAATCTTGAATGGAAATGAAAAAAAAACTCTAAAAATAAATAATAATAATAATTTCATACATGTAAATGTCCTTAAAAGTAAACGAATTTCTTGAAAGTCTGACTTTGGTTAAGTTGGTTATGTTTCGGGCAGACAATATCTGTTATGTAAAATGTATATAGTAACAGTTGTATAACACAGAAAAATTAGACCATGTTCAGATAGGGAGGGTTTACATTGTCTTAATTTTGTCATGGTGTATAACATATCATCATCATCATAGCTGTATCAGTTGGAGAACAGAACGGTTGTGATATTGTCTGCACATCTGATGCTTAACTGGGCATAACATCTCTCAGCAGATTCTTTATATAGATGTGTTTTATGTAATGTTGGCCTGATTGAAGACTGATTTTGCTGTTCCCAGTGTACTTAAAATTCCTGTTATATATAAAATTGTATATTTTCAATAAATAACTGTTCAAATTTTATGAAAAAAATGATATAGGGATATTTTCCTACTACAAACAAAAAAACAAAGATTGTATTGACTGTTTTTAATTTAAATGCCACAGGATCAAAATCTGCAGATTTTAACATGATAAAGAAAAAGAAGGGTAAAAAGGCATATCTAAGGAACATCTCTGTTCCTGATGGACCAATTAGAGATGGGGAGAACAGCCATTTTGAGACCAGCTTTTTCCAGATGGATGGTCGACGAACAAAACATACTTCTCATGTGACCTCGATAGATGATGTTGGGCTTAATGCAATTAGAAATCTTGATATTGGACAAAGGTCAGAACCAATGGACATTGAAGGACAGGGTCTCCATGGTAACCAGTCATTTGCTTTAGACTATGACATTGAGGAGACGGAATTCAGAAGGAGGTTACCTACAGGAGAAATAGATATTGAAAGAAATGTTCACCAACATCAAACGATAGTGGATGATCTTGAAGTGGATGGGAATACACAACCTGATGATGAAGGTAAATATATTTATAGATAAACGTAGAGTAAATATAAATACTGTAGAATTATTAACTTTGGTGGGGGATTTATTTTCAGTGCATTCCTGGTTACTCTCAATACATGAAATGATAAAAAGATGAAAACTTAATGGGCTCTTAATGAGCAAGATTTATCCGTGAAAATTCATATTTTTGTCAAACCATGAAATTTTCTGAGTGGAAAAGTAGGATTTTACAATATGCAGGAGGACTATATTAACCAGAAATGTAGTTACAAATGTAAATAGGGTAACCAAGGTGATTGTGGTAACCAAACAGAGTATCCAGTAAACAATTAGCAGTTATTGATTTTGGAAGCCAAGGTAAGAAGGGCTTTAAAGATGACAGCAGTAAATGAAATAAATATCTTCCTTGTTAACAATGTTAACCAAAGGTAACCATAGTTGATAAGGTTGATAGAGAAACCAACTTCATTGTGGTTACCATTTTACCTTGAGAAATGAAATACATTTGTATAACATACTTCAGGTACCATAGAGGCTGTGGTAGTCAAGAATTTTGCAGTAAAAAATGTAACTAGAGTAACCAATGTCATTGATTGTAATTATGGTCAGATGGTAATCATAGTGATTATTAAAATTATAGTATCTATGGTAACAGAAATGTTTCAAATTACCAAACTTACATGAGATAGCTTGTCTGTTTTTAAAGTAGATCTTTTTTCATATTGATGATTCTCATTTGATAAATGCATTGAATTTCATTGTACCTACTATGAATAATCAATGCACATCATGTGTAAATGTTATTTAAAAACAAGTCGTAAAGAATCCATGTTTTATTGTAAACATAAGCTAAGTAATGAAAGCAGAAATTCAAAGCAAAATTTCATTGAAATGGTTTGATACATTGATTTAAAGATGATGGGCCAGGTTTAGCGGAGGGAGCTGTAGGGAATCTAGAAGGGGGAGATAATGCTACACAGGAAGATAAGGAGAAATTGTATGGAATCATAGCTGAACGACTAGCAGAGATGGGGGATAGCTACATGGCTGGAGCTTCAGGGGAGGCTCACCCTGCATCACCTCGACGAGCCTCAAGTACAGCTCAGGCATCCCTGGAAGCTTCCTTTGATGTCAGAGATGGTATGTATATATTCAGACCTCAAAATCTGGTCATTTAGCAATTTTAATTATTGTAATGTCAGTGATGTTCTACAATGTAGTTTTAATGAATGAATATACCAGTCTAAAACTGAAAGGTGAAATATGATTTGTATTTTAAAAAGGCTTTTATGGTAATATCCTCATTTTCATTCTCTAAGGAAACATTGTTTAATTTCTTTTTGAATAACCCTAATCTGGCATTAAAATTTACCATTAATTTACCATTAAAATTTACCATTAAAATTTCAAATGAGGAATCATTTTATTTTTGTCAGGTGATGGTCTCAATTCATTAGAGAGGGAACTTAGAGACAGTTTGCGAAACTTTGGAGACAATTTCAGTGTTGAGGTATGTACATAGTTTATTTGTTATTATTTGATAAACTTTTCCTTTGAAATGATTAAAAACAAACTTCATGCTTATATTCATCACTTTTGCTGGCTTGTATGGAAGCACGAGAGGGGTGTTACAGTTTGAGGAAACTGAAGAATCTGTGAAAACCGGATGTGGTCTGGTAGGTGACCAAATACATTTCAGGTTTGTTTGTGTAATCAAAACCCAGATGTCTAGGAGAAAGGCAAGTATATTACCACTCGCCACCTTACCACCTAAGATTACTACCTTTCCCAGATAATGATACTTCTGTTAGTAAGATGATTACTTACAGAAAAAAACTCTTGTATTTTGATATTCCTTTGTTATTTGTTTATTGGCATGTTGGGTTTATTGTTCTACCAATAGCCAGGATCATTGTGAGGAGGGTTGCCTTTAAGTAGCTGGTAGCTCTCTCAATGTACACCATACAGTGACTGAGGAGTGCGGGCTCATGTCATTCAGAGCAATGAGGGTAAAGTGTCTTGATCAAGGACACAACCATGTCAGTATATGGTGTTTCTGTTAGTGCTTAAGAAACCAAGATCACCCAAATTAGGGATCATTGTCTCACACACATCATAATCATGTTCATATTAATAAGAAATACTTCGAAAACAAAGGATTCTCAACATCCATTAATAGATGTTTTCTGTAATATAATGTGATTATTTTTATTGAATACTTCACAGTATTTGAACAAGAACTGAACTGGTATTTGACATGTCAAGAATGTCAGTTCTCAATCATTGTATTTTCTGTAATTTTGAAATTGAAAAAAGTTGTCATTTCATGTAGGGAACAGAAGTTAAGCTATAATTATTAATGTGAACTATGACTATAAAAGTGAAATGCGATCGTAAAAGTGAACTGTGATAATTGTAAAAGTAAGCTATGATAATTGTAAAAGTAAGCTATGATCGTAAAAGTGAACTGTGATAATTGTAAAAGTAAGCTATGATCGTAAAAGTGAACTGTGATAATTGTAATCTTTATCTTGGTCACAAAAAAGCCTATCTATATGAAGGTCAAATTATCACCCTTGAAACACTTGTAGCATCCAGTGTCAGCTGAAGTGACCGAGGCAGCAGTGGACATTGTCAAACAGGCCACTTACAACTCATTCACTGATACCCTCAAACGTGCCATTGGAGATGAGGTTGGTTGGCACCAGCTTGCTACACTATTCTACATCACAAAGAAAACAGTTCATGCTGCAGGTGCAGGTGGTGCAGTTGCTCTCAAGGTTAAGGAAATGAGTCTACGTTACCTAGAGGATAAGTTTGCTGGCTGGATTGTTGACCAGGGTGGATGGGTGAGTGTTATTTTAAACTGATATTCACAATGTTTATCATCAGTTGGCAAAAGTCCATCTGAGTCTAATGATGAGAATTCATTGTAAACATATATACTTCAGTGGTAATCTTACCAAAGTGCTGAAGGTGTTTTTGCATAAGTATTATTGCACTAATTGTCGCTTCTGTATATGGTCATTATGCAGCAATTATTACGGAAGTGATAATGTGCTTATATTTGACAGCACAAAATTAAGTATGTTTACAGTATCTTTGTGTTTGTTTTAGTTACAGCTCAAATAACAGGCATACAGCACTTGTCACTCAAACTTTGAGACTTGGATATGAAGATAGATTACTCACTTAAACTTTAAGGGTTGTGTTCAGTACATGATAAACAATTCTGTAGTGTGATGTTCAACATCTCTGTCAGTGGTTGTTGTTTTAGATCTTCATTTCATAATTCAGGGTTTTCCATAATTTTGTTAGTAGTAGGCTGTGTAGTGAAAGTAGGAGGCTTGCGAAGCAAGCCGACCCGAGCCGCAACACGGCGAGGTTGGGGTGGCCTGCTGTGTACGTGTAGTCGTGTACGGAACATTATTACAGATGTGGATTGGTGTAGGAGGACAAATGTTCAAAGAAGCCAGTCAAATTGGCCGGCGAACGGCTCTTATGGAAAACCCTGTAATTATTCTGATATTGTGTCATCACAAGGTTAAGACAGATTAAAACACTATGAAGATTAGAAATAGGTCATTGTATAAAACTTTGTGGTTCAGTGAATCAGAATAGAATATTAAACTATAAAGAAATTGAAATAAAGATAATATATCCATATAGCCATTGACAACTTCTTGTATGGATGGAATGAAGGCTTTCACACCATCTATTAATCATTTTATCCTCTAAAGTCATCAAATTATGCATGAAGTACCTCTTGGGAGTATCACATACTGTTCCATAGGAAGTGTTTATGGGTTAATGTTTAAGCCAAAGACATTTCATTTTTTATTGTCGTTGTTTATCTGATAGGCAAAATTTACAATAAAAAAGCAACCTGTGTTAATGAGGATGGAGAGATTGGAACTCTCCTTTCTGTGAGGATGGAGAAATTGGAACTCTCCTTTCTGTGAGGATAGAGAGCCTGGAACTCTCCTTTCTGTGAGGATGGAGAGCCTGGAACTCTCCTTTCTGAAAGGAGGGAAAGAATTAATCTACTGTTGATCAAGGATATTGTTGTTAATAAAGTTTCCTTTCTGCATTTTCACAGGACACTGTTCTGGAATCAGAGAGTACCGACTCTGAGCTGGATTAATCACTCAACTGTGTTGTTTGTTTTGTTAAGATAAAATGAAGTGTTACTATGGAGATGTAAAAAATCACACTGTTACTATGGAGATGTAAAGAAACAGACTGTTGCTTTGGAGATGTAGAAAACAGTTTGTTACAATGAAGATTTCAACAAAAACAAACAAACATATACTATGGAGATGTGAAAAACAATCTGTTGCTGTGGAGATGTGAAAAGCAATCTTAATGTGGAGATCTACAAAACAAAGTTACAGGAAGTCGTTACCAAGGAAACGTGGATTGAGGGAGTTTACATGATACACTGTTATAATTTGTGGCCTTTAATTTTGTTAAACATTCAGGGTCATACACTTTCACTTTCCAGGTTTGGATTTGTACCAGACTTTCTCCCCTTTGGTATGTACATATTGTACATTAGAATATGAAAATATAAAACATATATGTACCATTAAGTCACCTCAAGTAATCTTTAGGTCTGAGTTTTACCTGATGAGCTGAATAACAAGAGATTACATATAAACTTTTTAAGAATTATAGTTAAAAGTTTAAAAGGCTGCTCATTTTTGTTCTGGAGGTATTTTTATTAGAGGTGAAAAGCATCTTGCCTTTTTATGAGATTCAGTATATGATAATAATGAAGATCATGGGAAAAATATGCCTTATGATTGTCTACTGTAGAGCTTCCCATGGCCAATTGGCGTTGCTGTAATTAACAGTTATGGGTACTTTAGTTTTGATTCAGAAGTGATTTTAACAAACTACTTTTGTAGAATGTATATTTTGTTAGTAAAAGTAGGAAATGTATTTCAAAATTGGCTTGATATACAAAAAAACTAAGACAGATGATTAATTCATATGAAAAATTTCTCGTCATAATACACTGTTCTAAATTCAGCAGTTATTGCTGAGTTAAACCTACATGTTAAATGTAAATACCAAGTGTTATGGCAACAGTAAGTGTTCCTTTGATAACAATGCTAACAACATATATGACTGCTTTGGAGATAAATTGGAACTGAACTGATGATGAAGGGGAGGTTTTTAGTGGAAACAGCTGTCATCATGAGGAAGAGTGCAAGATATGCCAGTAGGAAAGAAGCTTCAGTTTTCTTTGTTTTTGTTACGAAATTTATCTGAACAATTGGTGTTTATGTGATATATTTAATCAAGATTAATGTCCCTTCTTTAAGCCAACACTATATCTAAGCCAAACAGAACAAGCATGTTGGCCACAATTTCCTTTTTTATTCAATAACATAGTATTACTAAAGTAATTCAAAATTAATCTAATTGAATTATAAATCTTTTCATACATGTATGTTTTTTGATAGGATGATAAAAATGTCTAAATTCAAAAACCAGGGCCAGGTCCTCATCAAAAGTCATCAGATCATTTGATTGGTTTGAGAAAATGGTTCCCTTTTAAATAGCCTGAGGGAATATGTTGTGTAGTTGTTGGCAGCAGATATCTCATTTAAGTAGTATCTGTTACAATGTGTTCTAGAGTATGAAATATTTTCACTTGTGATCTCACTTTTTACGTTGTTTTTAATAAAATCTTTGTTGGTGCAAAAATCAGATGTTATTTTTTTCCTAATGTTTTTTTTGTATATTACATTTTTCTCATTTTATTTTGTGTGAATTAAAGATGAATTTTTTGTATCTAATCTCTGTGTGACAATATATTATATTGATGCTGGAATTCTGCAGGATTTTAGTATTTTTTATCTGAAACAGTGCTGGTACTTAAACAGAATTTTAGAAAACAGGATGTACAATGTATTGATTTTTCTCATATGATGTTTTAGTCTCCCAATTTATCATGTGTTGCCTTAAAAAGGCAGCTTTTTAAAAATCTTTATAAGAAGTATGTTTCATTGTTTTATGATCCACTAAGTTTCCATATGACAACTTGATTTCATTCAGGTCAATAAAAAACAAACATCATTCATTGCATCCCCAGTTAAAATTCTGACCTTGAATTACATTATATCTTGAAGGTCGAAGTTCAAATTGATTTATCAACATTGTAAATAGAAATTAGTTTCAGCATTATAATTTTAGCCAATCAAATTGAGAATACAAATACTACATAAATTGTTGACAAGACTCTTTTGGTATTGTATTTCATAGTGGAAGGTCAAATGTCAAGTTTATATAGATGTTGGTATATTAAGGTTGTAAGCTGAAAATTGGTTTTTTGGGATAATCAAACTTTAAGTGAATTGTTGCTTTCTGTTACAAAGTGTATCAGTATCTGTAATCTCTCCATTGTGAGGTGGTGGTACAACCATTTCTGTTGAAATCACATCTATTCAGTTGTTGATAGAGAAAGTTAAATCATAGCATAATACCAAAAAATATTAACAGTATTTAAAATATATATTAACATTTTAAAAGTTTTTTACTATAAAGTATGGGCTTTGTCCTTCCCTATTTCAGCAAGCGGAATTAAACTATTCTGGAGGTTGTATAGACCTAAAAAAGTAATGTGTTGACTTTGGCTTTGATTTGTTCAATGAATCTCTTTCTTGGGTTCATTTAACATCATATCCACCTCAGGAAAAGTCAATAACTGGTAGATATTTGATATTATTTTATTGAAATAAAAAATAACATTGGAACAGCCAATCAGAACAGTAACAAGTAAAACCTTCATGATAAGAGTTAATCCACCAACGATTCTAACCCCACTTATATACCCAATTTAACAAAAACAATTGCACCTGCATTATGTTTACATTGTACATATACATTTGAGTTACTTCCCCTTTCTGTGATCTCTCCACATTCCTGGTCCAGTGGTGCCGTATTCTTTGTTTAAGTTACCGGTGTCTTCATTTTGCAATAGTCCTTGCTGTGGCTGCAGCCTTTATTTCACAATGTCGATTTTATTGTTGATGAGCAATTACTTACTTCACAATAGGTGATATGGTTACCAACATCTTATTTGATATTTTTGACAGAATTCAACATTTCGTTGCTTGATTTTAATGCCATTAAGGCTATGTTCATTGATAAGTCAGTCTCCTATACTGTTTTAGTAATTATAGACGCTTAATGTAGAAATTGTTATTTTCAAAGGTTCTTTTAGCCCACCATCATCAGTCCGTAGTCTGACTGTCTGTAAACAGTTCAAGTTATTGCTGTCTCTTGAAAAGAGGAGAAACAATGTTTCTCAAACTTAACACATGGGTTCCTTTTGGTTGTTTGTTGCGTCCAATTAATTTTAAGGCTGGAATTTTTACTATGAAAGTTTCTTGGGAAGTACTGCATGGATAGGTTCCCATTGGTCTGCAGTTGTGCCCATTTGATTTCAGGATTTATCAGAAAAGCAAAATGGCTGACAGGTAGCCATCTTGGATTTGTTGGTTAAAGATTATCATCACTATTTCTGTAGGGAAATTTGATGATTTCATACAATTAAGGGCAACAACATAGGAAAGAAGGGAACGAGAGTTAAAAGATATTTTTTCTCTTTTTTTTTTATCCAGTTTTTATTGACAAATACAGACCAAACATTGGTTGGCACCAAAATCCTTCTGGGATCTCTTGTACATTAATATACCCACCCATACTCACTGGTTTTCTACCTGTGAAGGAGTGTAGGTGACATTGAGCCTTTAATGTACCTGTTGTGTCTTAAGGGTTTGTTTTTATACACATTTACACATTTATTTCAGAATTTCTACAGGGGTACTTGATATGTTATACATACCCATTACTCATAGAGTGTGGTTGGTTGGGGCAGTGGTAGCACACTCACCGAGACATCTGGGTTTGATTTCCTAAAGATAAGGTGAGATCTGCCGACCACATGAATTTCCATGGGTTCTCCACTTTTTCTCCCACATTAAGACTTTTTAATGGGCTTCCACATGGGCCAACATTAGTATTCCCTTGGTTGCAAATGTAGAGTATCTGTTGGGTTTAAAGTAGCATGTGATTTTCCTCACATCAACTTTGTTCGATTTTTTTGCCAAATGTTAATAAGAAAAAAATATGTGTTCATGTGGCTCTGTTTATGTATGTTGTGTTAATAGATATCTGTGATTTATTTTTGTTAAATATATTACAACAAACCTTTAGGAGAAATAAATTTTGACAAGTCCCTGTGACTGAAGTTTCTCCGCTTCACACATGAAACACTGATCTGTTTCTATTTACCTAATCTCAAGGAGGCTTTGTTCAGCTCAATTAATGTTGTGGAATCTCTATTCCAGAAGAGCAATTTTATTCACCAAGTGAAAATAATATAAAAAAATTATGAATTGTACTTTTATCGTAGAGCCTAACTTCTGTAATCCAAGTCCTGTATAAACCAGAACTTTAACGAGCTGGGTAATTACAGTTCATTTACATAGAGTGGAATATTTGCTGAATCTTGCATAAACACTGTCTTCTTCCAAGTACAAAGTAAACAAAGTAGAGTGTATAAAGTCCCTTATAAGAATATTTGCATATTAAGAAAATTATTATTATATTTTAGACTTTACAAAAAATTGTTTTTAAAATTTTTTAAGTTAAATTCTATTGAAAGACATGGGCAGTAATCAGAGAATTATGAAGGTTGTTTGAACAAACTGGTTTTGACGTGAAAGAAGAGAGAATCTGTGATGGTGTTACTGTATGTAGAATAAAATTACTGTGATAAAGCTATATCACTATTTGAAGGTTAACTACTTTCCATATCAAAGTGTACTATGAAGACACCATGAGTTTGTGTGTATGCTGGGTTTACTGCCCCTCGAACAGTCAAAGGCAGAGGATCCTTGTAGTTGCTGGAGGCTACCTCAATAAACTATGTATATCTGTTGCATGCCATTTTGAGGAATTTTGGTAATGTCTCTTGTCCAGGGATACAACCCTGACAGCACAAACTAGTCTGTTTCCAAGCTTCCTATGAAAGGGTTAGGGAGCATCAAACATGCACCTTGGAACTCAACCACAGGTTATATAGGCCAATGTTAACATTGTAACAGACTGAGATATAGCAACCTCCCAAAGCACCAAGGGAGGAGGCTGGTTGGATAAATGAATTTAGATGTACCAGTATGTAATAATTATTCTTACTCTGAAGGAATGAATGTTTTTTAGTGGTGTACCTTATATATCCTGCAATAAGCCTAGTGGGGCCACACGTAACTTCAGACTCAATGTCTGAAGATAATTTTTTGAGAAATTGCTGTTGACATAATGTACTGGAACTGCAGAATATATGAATGGGCTTTTTACCAGACATGGCTTATTGCAGGATAAATACAATAATTAACAAGTTGTTATGTTAGGTTTGTTTTAGCTGCTCAATTAATAAAGTGCTTACTTTCACGAGAGACCTTGTAAAGTTAAAGATCCCTGTGTTTATGTATATCATTATGTTTACATTTTATTAGAATTGATGATTAAATATGAATATTTAAAGGTGAATGTTGTGAATACATTAAAATGTTGAATTGTTAAATATGTGTGTTCAATATCATGGGCTGTGAAAGATAAAATCCATATTTGATAAAAAACGTGTTTGTATTCTATTGTATTATTTGCTGTATTGTTTTTAAATAACCAGGTGAAGAAGTTTTCAAAACTTGTTTGACTGAGACAGAATAACACTTTGTGTTATTGCATGCCCATTATTTATTATTATCAAAACAACTTACTTCCGGGTGTTTTCCTACATGTATTTCAATACTTCAAGACCAGTTTGAAACATTGAACTTTTCCTGGAGTTCTTTATTGTTTTTTGAATGAAACTGTACAAACAATACACAAATAAAATATCATGTTTCACCAAAGATTAAAATCAGATATAGCTGAATATTTAATTCAATTGCAATTCTTTGTAGGGTTTGTCAGTGATGATAAGGGCCTTAATTATAAAACCTGTGAGGTGGCCATGGAAAATCCATATTGGTAGAATGAAATGACACTTTATGATATAGTATCTGGTTCGATTCTGAGGTGGCCGTAAATTTTGGCTCCGATAGATCAATATTTTCTTTCAATTACATGTGAATCGAACCTGTTTATTATCATAGAAAATAATCTTAGTTTCATGCGAAAGTAAATCTGACTTCATGCAACAAGTTCAGCTTTAAGATTTAGATACATTTTTTAGATATTTAGATCATATATAATGAGGTGTAAGAAAAAGGCCAAGCCTTGCTGTCTCATTGTATCAGGTGTGTTTATTACAAGGATACTGGAATGTATTGCTGGATATTGTTAGAATTTGTAAGTAATTGTTCTGTCCACATTTCTCATATGAAATATATCTGTTTTGAAATGACATATGAATTCTTAGAATTAAAAAAAAAAATTATGCTCATTGAGACTACATGGGAGATAACTTTTAAACAATTTTTTTGTAGTATATAAGGTAGCTTATAACCTTAAGAAAAAAACATATGTAGCTGATAAATATTTGGTCTTTATTGATCTAGATTCAGTGAAATAACTAGGAGGGAATTTATTTCTTTAATCTATAAATAACTAAAAGAGAAAAGTTTAGTATTGAATAAAAGTTTATTGATTATGTATTGATTTTGAAAACTTAACTGTGATAGTTTGGCCAGGCTATTTCAAATTTTGGTATTCTACACTCAAACCGGCATTCCTCAAGTGACACAAAGTGGTTTGCAGACTTTGATGGCCCTCCAAACCGATGAAATCTACACACTTTGGCTTCTGGGTCAAAGTACCAGAACGGATGATAAGACATGTACTTTCCCACATCCATCGGTTCCAGACATCCTGTAAAATATTTAAACTGCGTTATCACAACTGAAATATATAGAAATGTTCAGATGAATTACTACAATATTGATAACTAAGATCACGGATCATAGCTTAAAAGTGACCAATCAGAAATACTGATACAAAACTAATCAAAATAAAAAAAAAGTAATAAATATAACATTTAACTGTGTCTTTCATAATAAGAAATATGTGCCCCGATATTTTACTCGGATGACTTTTC